TGGCCAGCACTAGGTCCAACAAGGCGTCCCCCCTGGTGGGGCTGTGCACCTCCTGGGTTAGATGGAGGTCCTGCACACTGTCTAAAAACCTATGCGAGCGTTCAGACCTGGCTGACTGCTCTTCCCAGCAGATGTCCGGGAAGTTTAGGTCCCCCATGATTACCACATCCTTAGTTACATATGGATATCATTTTAATCCAACTACATATATGTATTACACACACCCAACTTATTGTCAAACATGCATTAGCTGCCACGCTAAGAGTCTACTTTCAAGGTGACCATAGTAAGCGCTTAAAAATACTTTGAAAAAAATCTCCCATTTTTTCATGTTAGTAAAACACAAATCAGCATTTTCAGTTACACAATAAAGCATACTCAAATGGATGATATGTGCATCATCGTTAGGTTGGCAAGTTCTTCCATCATGCAAAGCAACAGGGATGAAGTGTTTTGGGTTCAGTTAGGCTTTATTCATGATCAGAAAGCATCTTCCCCCAGTGGAGCTGGACAGCTGTTCTTTCCTGGGCATGAAGCAAGGCTTGAGCTGATTCAATATTAGAAGTATGACAAATCCACATTTCCAGCTGCCGGTTGAAGAAAAGAATTGCTAATATCATGCAACTTTGGTCAGGAATCACAGGAAGATTCACATTCTTCAGATACCAAACAAGGAACTCTTGACAGAAAAAAAAGAAAAGAGTCAAATCCCTAAAGCCTATAGTTGGAAAAAATGGAGAAAGGGTATTTGGGATGTGAATGATGACTTTTTTCTTTAACAAGCGATCTGTGTTTTTCCTGAAGTTAAAGTATAGATGCCCATATAATTTAATCTGAGCCTAGTGTAACAGTTGCTGTTATTCTTGTCCTGCAGCCAAAAGTTCTGTGTGTTAATTATACACTGCATTTAAAAATCCTTATCTTTCTGTTTGTCACTGTTTAATTCAGTATGTCCTTCTTTTTCTTAGAAGTAGCAAATAGTAAGACTAATTAGCTTTCTTAATTGCATTTTCTGTTTTAAATCCCTATAGCTTGCTTTGCTCTTTTTTATTTATTTACCATGTAAATGGCCTGGACATAGCTAGCCATTTTTCTGTGCAGGCCACTCTATTACGTTTTGTCTAGCAGTGTGCAACTACCAATGGAAAAATACTGTTTGTTACAGGTCTTAGTAAATGTGTGTGTGAAAACAGACACATGATGTATTATTACTTGCATTATCATAGCACTTGAGGGTTCCTACTCTGGGACCAAGACCCTATCATGATTGACACTGTACAAACATGCCCAGTCATAAAAGTCTGGTAAATCTCTGTTCTAGAAAATATGTGTATATGTCTGAATATATATGTATCTAGATGTCTCCCTATATGTATGCATGACTGTTACCCGTGGCTGCAGGTACTGGAGGTGTTCTCAGCTGGTTTTCATTAGTCTTTAGTGCTCTGAAACTTGGTTCTTGGAGATGTGGTATCTGAGAACTGGAAAGAAAGGAGTAGGTTAAAAAACAGAAGTACATTTTCCTGGAAACCAACACTTTTTCATTTGCAAGCTTTATTGGCTACCCGGGCAACTCGTAAAAACATTCTTGGCATCACCTAGAACAGTGGGGAGCCAACTTTTTTGGCAGGTGTGCCGCAAATTAGCCCCATGACCTCCCCCACACCCACTCTATCTCCTTCCACTGCCCCATGGACTGCTCTGCTTTTTGCTCCCTGGCTGATCTGCCCTCTTGTTTTCTGTTACCTACCCTATCTGCCACTGCGCTGTCTGTTCTGTGAGGGGATGTATCCCTGATGTTGAGTGGGAGATTGGCAGGGCTCTGGGAGGCGTGCTGGGCATGGCTGGGGGATGTTGGTGTCCTTTGGATGGCGCTGGTTAGCTGGCTGGCTGGAGAGTGCTGGAGTGTATGGGAAGGGTAGCTGGTTTGGAAGGTGGATGGTAGCTAGGCTGAGGGAAATTGTTGCTGGATGAGGTGTGTGGCCTATTTGGAGGGAAAGGCACTATTAGTCTTTTGTATCTGTCCAGGTTGCTCTGTTACTAGAAGCAGGGGGCAGAGAGAGCATGTCCTTAGCAGAACGTCCCTGTCAAAGCCCCAGGCAGGAAGGCCATGCAGAGCCTGGTGGGGAAAGGATCGCCTCCCGCTGTCTTGACATCACCTGTATCGGCTCCCATTTACCTAATCATTCCCGACAACAGAGATGACAAAAATCACCTGTTCCAATAACTTAACTAAAGACCTAAACAGGATGGAGACTTAAAAGGCCTAAACATCCAAAGTGCCTTGCACAAGTCCACAAGCTCCTGGCAGAGATCAGGGCTACTGAACCGAACCTATGGGCAGCGGCAGAGTGGGCTGACCGCCGGGAAAGGGCAGAACTATTCTTACAGCGCTTTATCCCAACACCAGGCACGGGACAGAGAAGCCTGAGTCCCGCTGAGCGGAGCGAGATCCGGATAGGGAGGCTTGAGAACAGCACTGTACAAGATGGGCCTCTTGCACAGCCCCCACGGGGGTCCAGCAATTATTACAGCGCTCAATGGAAAGCCGAAAAGGTGCAATCCACCCACTGCTCCGCGCCACCAGTCGGGGGCGCTCTGCAAAATGCTCACTAGGGGAAAAGAAGACAATGCCACCTGCTGCAGATAAAAAGCTGGGGGGGGGGGGCTCAGAGCTGGGCCTGGCGGCGCTGGTGCAGCCTGGCCGTCAGGGGGCGCTCCAGGCACACGCAGCCCGGCCCAGCCCAGCACAGGTGGCCGCCAGCTGCAGCCGCCCGCGGAGCCCGGCGGGTCCCGGCCCGCTCGG